GTAAATGATATGCATTCGATAACCAATATGACCAACATGAGGAGGTTACAAGTTTGCTAGTTCTTCCTGGAGTTACACATGTAACATTTTCTATCTGTCAAGTGCCCTGTCAGAAAGAGGACCAGCCTGTGACACCACCTATCAAGTGGTATTATTCACTCCGACAAGCTGAAAGAAAAACGCATCGTGTCATTCCCCAACTAGAGCTAATGTAGGAAAATCCCATCACCTCCAGTTTATTTTTTTTTTTTACAGACCCCCCCCCCCTGTCTCTCTCTTTCTTTTATACGCACACGCACACAAACACACACAGCTACATGAACACACAGTGGCATCACCTCGTCAAGTCTTCAATGTCAACCAACATCGAGTCCTGCTCCATGTGAAGATCATCGCGCTCTATAAGTAGGTGCACCAGGTCCTCGTTCAACACTGTCAAAAGAAAAATATTCATAGATATAAATCTAGATCTACCTTTCTCGATACCTGAGGGGCAATGTATTTTACAATGACTTACGTCTATAGAATTGCAATAATAAATTTTAATATTTTATTGCTCATCAACACAAATACGGTAATTTTGGAGGTGGGATCCATCCCCGACAGACAGGGATACAGCACCCGAACAGAGAGTTGGGGATATTGGATCAACATATTAAAAAAAAAGAATCCCACCCCCCAAAAACCCCCACAAAAAAACAAAAACAGAACAAAAACAACAACATAAAAAAACAACCAAAACCAAGCCAAACTAAAAAACGAACAATTACATTTTTTTTTCTAAACCCCTAAAACAAAACAATCCCCACCCCACCCCACCCCCCACTCCCGAATCCTCCCCACACAGGAGCCGAACTCATGTTTCCCACGCTCGACGTTGAAAAGCCTGTTACAACATAATTTTATTTGAGTGAAGTTAAGCATACTGCCGCAATAACTGTCATTTAGTGCCGGGAAACAGACAGATAGACAGTAGACAGACAGACCGACAGACAGACACAACAGAGGGAAAGTAAAGAAGCAAGAAGTAGGAGACAGACAAAGAGAAACAAAAGAGGGAGGGTGAAGAAAAATGAAATACGGACAGACAGACAGAAACAAACGATGGGAAATAAAGGAGAAAGAAGTAGGTCACAGACAGACAAAAACCACAGAAGTAAAGTAAAAAAGAAAGAAGTAAGGGACAGACACAGAAACAACAGCCAAGAGGGAAGGTAAAGAAGGAAAACGTAGGCTGGAAGACAGACAGACGGAAAAAAAGCCCAGATCGAAACTAAAGAAGTAGGACCTGTCAGTAGCGCCCTCAAACCATCCGCGACCAGTGCAACTCGGCCAGCCATCAAACTATAAGCCTATTATCAGTGATCACACACACACAGTGTCACGGCTCTGGTAATGCTATATCGATTTCCTCCTTAGCCGGGACAGCCTGTCATTTTTCAATTCAACATTATTTGTAATACACTCTGTTGCTAATATCATTATTTCTTCCGTTAAAATAGTTCCTATGGTTTCGATAGGGTTTAAACAAATTCTTTTTCTCCTTTTATTGAAAATGTTCCCCATGAAGCTTCAATCCGTACTTTATAAAGTAAAGTAAAACATGACGCATTGAGAAACTGAAATATCTATTGAATATCTATTGAGAGGTAATATTATTTTGACACCCCCCAAAAAAATCAAAATAAAAGATAAAATAATAATTGTGCTTTCTAATTTTAGTAACAGTTTTATGGCACTTATAATGCAACAAGGTCAAATATAAGTAGGCCTACCAAATATTAGAGGTGCTATAAGAGAGTAACAAACTCAACAAAAAAAAGGAGGAGGGGATGTAAAGGAAGATAGATATATTCGATAGGAAAGAAGGAGCAATGAGCTACGACCAAAATTGTTTTGTGTATTTTTTTTTACAATCTAAAAAGGAATTATTAAAAAGAAAAAGAAAAAAACAACAACCCCCCAAAAAACCCCCACCAAACCCCCAC